CATGTCTTTGGAAAAACAAAAAAAAAATCCCAATAGGTGTATAAAAATATTTTTTTGTGAAAGTTATAGTGTCTACAAACTATGGTATATACAGTATACTGGAATTTGCACAGCTATGATGATATACTGGTAATGGCGGTAATCAGTAACTTTTAGTAGGACTGTGATAGTGTATCGAACAGTCTGGCACTAGCTGACGCTGTCTGGGAGGTATACTAACTGACTAACTGATATCAATAGTGACACTAATACAGTGATCAATGCTAATACTGTATACTATATAACATCAAGGAATAGTCAAAGGGTTAACTGTGTGCCTAACATGTGTAATGTGTTCTGCTTTTACTTATAGATCTGGCTGTTTTTTTCTCCCTACTTTGCAGGTAGAGGAAACAGCCACATCACGGATCTGTGTACAGAGTCGGGAGTGTTTGTAAACACAGGGCTCTGAGCTGTGATTGGCTACAGCTGATCAACAGGTTCAGCCATAGATCATTGGTGGGGTCTGCTGCCAAAATCCTGCTGTAGCCAGTGACAGCAGGGGTTAGCAGCAGGCAAACGCTCCTAATCCGGAACAGGCTGGATGATGTACATGTATGTCATCCAGCCTGCCTGTGCCGCCCACCTGCAATTTAAGTACTGTGGGCAGACAGGAAGTATTTAACCACTTGCCAACCACACTATAGCCAAATGACGGCTACAGCGCAGTTGTCCAGTCCTGGGAGGGCGTCACATGACCTCCTCCCAGAACACACCCTCCCAATCACAGCGGCCTTTTACCACGTGATCAGCTGTGTCCAATGACACAGCAGATCACCAGTAAATGCAGTTACCGGTTATCAGCTGCACTTTCCACACGCTCTCACAACATGAGGAAAGTACTGCCGATAACCGGCAATTGTCAGAGGATGGATCAGCACCGATCATCAGGGCACTGATGATCAGTGCCAAACAGTGCCACCCACAAGTGCCCAGCAGTGCCACCCTCCTGTGCCCATCAGTGTCCATCAGTGCCACCTACTTGTGCCCATCAGTGTCTAGTTGTGCCACCCAAATGTGCCCATCAGTGCCACCCATCATTGCCACCTATCAGTGCCCAGCAGTGCCACCAGTCAGTGCACAGCAGTGCCATCAGTCAGTGCCCCCATCAGTGCCCATCAGTGCTGCCCATCAGTATCACATATAAGTGCCCATCAGTGCTGCCTATCAGTGCCCATCATTGTTGCATATCAGTTCAGCAGCATCATCAGTGCCGCCTCATCAGTGCCAGCTCATCATTGCCTCCTATCAGTGCTCATCAGTGCTGCCTATCCATGCCACCTCATCAGTGCCACCTATCAGTGCCACCTATCAGTGCCAATCAGTGCTGCATATCAGTGCAGCCTCATCAATGCACATCAGTGAAGGAGAAAAATTACCTGTATGCAAAATGCTATAATAGAAACAAAGAAAAAAAAACAGTTTTTTTTTTCCAAATGTTGAAGGGAAAAGGGTCTCTCCCCATGCTCCACAAGAGGATGTGAGAGTTTGTGGGGGAATTATAGGGCTCTGGAAGCCCCCATTACATATTGTGGGGATTATATTCAAGGTAGAGGCATAAAAAACAGTTGTCTATTCCAGCATAAGAACAGTAAAACAGGAACTCAAGCACAAATGTATGTAATGTTAAGAAGACATTTGCTCAATGGAGTTTGACTTAGTTCAAGTCCTGAACGATACCCTTGTTTCCGGCAATGTTCCTCTCTGGGAATGGTGGTGGTCCATGAAGCAGGCTCTTATCACACATCAGGTGGTCAGTAGCCTCCAACTTTGCAGGTTAGTATGGATCCCTGAGCTGACATACATACCCACTCTCCCCACAGCTTTGTCTAGCTAAGGATGAATTCTTGTGTCTAAATATTTTAGGCTGAGGTTACTTTAAGTGTATGAATACTTCTGGCTTTTAAGGATACAGTGCAGCACCTTTTCTTATTCTTCACCTTTCTCCTCTCATGTCCACATCTTGTGACCCCAAGTTTGATCCTCATACTCAGCCCAACACTTATTCATGAATCATTAGACATATGCACGTCAGAAATTTTCATTTAATTTTAGATTCACTCATTCATTGAAGAATTTTGGTTTGTCATATGCATTATGTTGACTCGATTCATTTTCGGAATTCAATTCATGTCTTTATTCGTTTCATATAGTTGTTGGTTATTTGTGGATTTCAAAAATGTTGCAGTTTTCCCAGAAGGTTGCTATATATTCAGTATATTACTGAATCAGACAGATTCGAATAGGAAGGATTTGATATTTTCAGCTGCTACTCCAATCCACCAAGAGAAACGGCATGAGCTGATTGGACAATATCGACTGCCAGCATGCACATCTGAATTAACCAAAGGAATGAAATTCAGATCCATTCAGTATTCGAATCCAAATTATCAAACACATTTGTAGAATTGAATTAATTTCTCCATAAGTCTGAACTACTATCACATCATGTGATGTCATCCAAATGAAATTAATACAATTGTTAATTTCGTTATAACTTTTTTTCCGTGATCATTTACATTAATTTACTATGATCATTTGGAATATATATATATATATATATATATATATATATATATATATATATATATATAGCACAACCTAGTTATCAGGGGTGCCATATCCCAAATAGAATATGTAAAAGGGTACAGTACAATAATATGTTAATTGTACAAAAAATGTAAAATTACACAAAACTCTGTGCATAGAAAAATACATAGTGAATTATGTAACCATAAGATACATAGGCATAAGCAGATGTATGCTAATTACAGGTGTACCTCAGTTTACAAATTTTATGCGTTCTCCAGGACATTTTGTATTGCGAAAAATTCGTAAACTGAAATGCAGTTTCCCATAGGAATGCTATGAAAACCAATTAATCCATTCTGGAGGTCAGAAAAAAAGTAAAAAAAAAAGTCACTGTCACTATAGGTCAGTGCCATTTTTTAAATGTAATTACTGGCTTTTTTTTTTTTGTCCACTTCACTATAACTCAGAAACTCAGCTGTCACTTTACCCCCAGCTAAAAGAAAGAAAGTTTCCTTTTAGTTTATTTCCCCGAGTTAAAAGAAACAATGTTTCCTTTTAGTTTGTTTCCCGAGATAAAAGAAACAAAGTATCCTTTAGCTCTGGGGAAAGTGACAGCTAATTCTGTGAGCTATAGTGAAGAAAAAAAAAGCCAGCAATTGCATTTAAAAATCGACACCGACATACACTTTATATTGCAAATACAAATTGTAAAAAGTTTGTAAACTGAGGCATTATTTTCAATGGATTTTCATTTGTAAACCAAAAATTACATTAACCGAGGCGTTCGTAAACCGAGGTACGCTTCTATATCCTAACACATTTCATTTCTTGATACAAATCTTTTGGGGCAAGTATCATGATGGTGAAATCTATAATGCAAACAAAAAATGATCACAAAAAATATTTAAAAAAAACACAATAAATACCCCAGAAAATAATAATTACCCGGTATGTGTAAACAACTTACAGGACCAACAATTATAATTATAATCAAATGTTAATTTAGAGATTCATATACATCCAAATCTTTAAAAATTAAATTATTGACCATGTTACAAATTGAAACAAAATGCACGTCTAATCATCATTCACCATTAGAACATTTCTGGATGCCATGATCCCAGCATTTCTAGTTGCAGTGATGACACAAAAATATCACATCTCAGCACCACATCCTTTCCAAGGTTTCTTTTTTGGATGAAGATATATTTTAAATTATTAGCTGCCCATCAAAACTGATAGCAAAGACATATAGTATTATCTTTTTTTTTTTTTACATGGCAGTTTGTCTGATTGACAGAAGCACTGAGACTGATGTACTAAAACTGTAGAAACCAACTGCAGTTGCAGTGACTTCAATCATCCAATCATGGATTGGAATCAAAAGGATTTTTTTTTAATATTCACCTAAACATGCTTTGGTATTTGATGTGAACATAGGTTCACTGGGCTGAGTGAACCTTCTATCCTGCTATCTGAAGCTTGCTGCTGCATGACTAAAACCACCAGAAAAAAATATTCTATTTGTCTTGGTTGAAAGCACGCATACACAGATGGAATAGATTGCATATGATGTACTTTGAATGTTTTTGTGTCCGAGGTACCTAAAACATGAAAAACATACATACATACATACATACATATATATATATATATATATATATATATATATAAAAAACATATACAGTAGACAGAAAATGCAAAGCATGAGATATAGATAGATAGATAGATAATAAATAGATAGATAGATAGATAGATAGATAGATAGATAGAAAATAGATAGATAGATAGATCGATAGATAGATCGATAGATAGATAGATAGCTACGTTTGACCAAGACACTGTAAGAATATTAATAGGTTAATAGGTTTGTACACTGCTCAAAAAAATAAAAAGAATGCTTTGAAAACACATCAGATCTCAATGGGAAAAAAAATATCATGCTGGATATCTATGCTGATATGGACGAGATAATGTCTTAGGAATGTAAGGATGCCCAATCGTTTGATGGAAATCAAAATTATCAACCTACAGAGAACCGAATTCAAAGACACCAAAGTGAAAATTTGATGCAACAGGCTAGTCCATTTTGCTGAAATTTCATTGCAACAACTCAAAATGGTTCAAAGTAGTTTGTATGGCCCCCAAGTGCTTGTATGCATGCCTGACAACGGCGGGGCATGCTCCTAATGAGACGATGGATGGTGTCCTGGGGTATTTCCTCTCAGATCTGGACCAGGGCATGAGCTCCTGGACAGCCTGAGGTGCAACTTGGCGACAACAGATGGACAGAAAAATGATATTCCAAAGGTGTTCTTTTGGATTTAGGTCAGGTGAGCATGGGGACCATTCAATGGTATTAATTCCTTCATCCTCCAGGAAATGCCTGCATACTCTCACCACATGAAGCCAGGCATTTCATGCACCAGGAGGAACCCAGGACCCACCACACCAGTGTAGGTTCTCACAATGGGTCCAAGGCAGGGGCGGACTGACAACTCATGGGGCCCCCAGGCAATAGGGGATCATGGGGCCCCTGTGTCCTTGCCCAAACTCAAAAAAGCCTATGAAAAAGGTACCAGGGGCATCTCATGGGGCCCCCTACTGACCCCTGGCCCTCGGGCAGTGCCCGAGTTTCCAAATGGTCAGTCCGCCCCTGGTCCAATGATTTCATCCCAATACCTAAAGGCAGTCCCCAGACTATCACTGACCCATCACCAAAACGGTCATGCTGAACAATGTTACAGGCAGCATAACATTCTCCATGGCTTCTCCAGACCCTTTTTGGGCCACCCTTATAAAGTCTGATTGTTTGGTCAGAGACATTCACACCAGTGGCCTGCTGGAGATAAATTTGTAGGGCTCTGGCAGTGCTCATCCTTTTCCTCCTTGCACAAAAGAGCAGATACCGGTCCTGCTGATGGGCTAAGGACCTTCTATGGCCCTGTCCAGCTCTCATGCTCTTGAGACTGTGCTGGGAACCACAGCAAACCTTCTGGCAATGGCACGTATTGATGTGCCATTCTGGAGGAGTTGAATTGCCTGTGCAACTTCTGTAGGGTCCAGGTATCGCCTCATGCTACCAGTAGTGACACCTCTTCTAATGCAAGCTGTGCCGCTGTCATCCGTCCCAAGGACCACTGGAAAGACACCACCTGCTACTGCCTGCCCAGGGCCTACTGAGCTCCCAGATCTGAGATCTCCACCTGTACTGACTTCAAGCTAGGAGATCCACAGCAAGCACTGCGCTCATTGCAAAAGCCCTGTGTGCTTCCAGTGTCTGGAGGAGGGCCGGCACCACAGCCAGGAGGTCAAGGCTCTCAGGTCCATGTGAAAGCTGCACAAGGTGAGGGGGGGAACACTGGGGGAGGGGTGGACAAAGGGCGGGCATGGGTAAACTCCACAAGATGGGGGGTTGCACAAGGGCAAGGGGAGGGTACAAGGTGAGGGGATTGGGGAAGCTGCACAAGATGAGGGGAAAGGGGGTACACAAGTTTGAGGGGGGAGCTGAACAAGGAGAGGGGGGGGGGAGGACAAGGTGAGGGGGGGGGGGCACTGGGGATTGGAAAAGCTGCACAAGGTGAGGGGGGATGCACAAGATGAGCGGGTAAGTGTAAATATGGGGAGCAGCCATCACATCTAATGACTGGTAAGCTGCAATATACGACATGTTTGGTTCTGGGTTTAATATTGCTAATATATAATTATCAGGTTCTGCAAAAGACCCCCTCCTGCCATTTATGCCCCCTCCCCCCAGACTGACAATGCTTCTCTCTAAATGTACTCCTTCATTGAGCGTGGGGCACTCTAATACAGAAGATCTGTTACTGGCCAGATCACAAGGTGAAAACAGAAAGAAAAAAGCCCAAAAAAAGAAAACACATCTAATGATTGGTAAGCTTCAATATATTACATTTTGCTTTTGGGTTTAATACCACTTTACAGTTTCCAATTTCCTCTTTGGAAAAGGAGCAGCTGGACATTGATTAGTTGTATTAATACCATCACTTACATATCAGTATTTCACCACAGCATTTCTGCTGAAACCAATAAAAGGAGAAGGATTTATTTTCCTCAACTAGATGAACAGCAACATTAGGTGACTCTATAACATGAACAAGTTAGATTCACAGTTGTCTATCCCACTGAAGGTGCAGCAGTCAGGCTTATAACAGATGTAGGGGGTGGAAGAGATAAGCACATGGAGAGTGAACTCAGCTTGAATGCAAACCTGTTGAAGCCTAACACTGGATCATGGTAAAGTTGTCTGCCATCTCAGTGGTTCAGTGATAAGACAGTAACAATTATTTCTAAAACTGCAGCAAAGTATATTTGTCTTCAATTCTTATAGCAACCCATAGGGTTCCAGTTGTTAACTTTATTAACACAGATCATGATATAAAAGTATAAATTTGATCAATGCCTCTACAAATGAACCTTTTTTTTCTTTTAGATTTTATAAAACATTCTCGGTGACCCTACTGGACTAAAATCCAAGCAAGAGTAGGATGCTCTGCTTTTCCATTAATTGAATTAGTAAGAAATAATAAAAAAGCAGGAGAGTTTAGATTGCTCATCTTGCTAAATACACTATATTGCCAAAAGTATTGGTCGGCCTGACTTTACACACACATGAACTTTAATGACATCCCAGTCTTGGTCCGTAGGGTATGCTGATCAGCCCCTCCTCACCACTGCCTACTGGCTTCTAGAAACATTTCCGAGTCTTTAGAGCAGGGGGAGGTATCAGAGAACTGGCATGTAGAGCCTTCCAGCATTAACCTGAAGTAACCTTGCTGACTCACTCTCATGCTGACTCATACCCCAGGCTTCTAGCAAGCCTCTAGCTGTACAAAAAAAATCCCTATCTAAATTGGAGGGCATTACACAACTATACCTAAACATCAGTAGAATTAGTGAGGTTTCCACCTCAAAAAAATAATGCCATTATTAGCCTGTCCCTAAAGGACTTGATCAGAAATTGCATATATATACTATATTGAGACGCCTGCCTTTACATGCTCATGAAATTAATGGCATCCCAGTCTTGGTCCGTAGAATTCAGTATTGAGTTGGCCCGCCCTTTGCAGCTATAACAGCTTCAACTCTTCTGGGAAGGTTGTCTGCAAGGTTCAGAAGTTTGTCTGTGGGAATGTATTTGTGAGGTCAGGCACTGATGTCAGACAAGAAGGCCTGTCTCCGCTCTAATGCATCCCAAAGGTGTTCTTTCGGGTTGAGGTTAGGACTCTGTGCAAGCCAGCCAAGTTCCTCCACCCCAAACCTGCTCATCCATGTCTTTATGGACCTTGCTTTGTGCACTGGTGCGCAGTCATGTTGGAAAAGGAAGGGACCATTCCCAAACTGTTCCCACAAAGTTGGGAGCATGAAATTGTCCAAAATGTCTTGGTATGCTGATGTTTTAAGAGTTCCCTTCACTGGAACTAGGAGGCCAAGCCCAACCCCTGAAAAGAACCCCACACCATAATCCCCCCTCCACCAAACTTTACACTTGGCACAATGCAGTCAAGCAAGTACCGGTCTCTTGGCAACTGCCTAACACGGACACGTCCACTGGATCACTCCAGAGAACACATGTCCACTACTCTAGAGTCCAGTGGTGGCATGCTTTACACTACTGCAGCTGACGCTTTGCAATGCACTTGGTTATGTAAGACTTGGATGCAGCTGCTCGGCCATGGACACTCATTCCATGAAGCTCTCCACGCACTGTTGTTGTGCTAATCTGAAGGCCACATGGAGTTTGGAGGTCTTTAGCTATTGACTCTGCAGACAGTTGGTGACTTCTGCTCACTGTGTGTATATACATATATATATATATATATATATATATATATATATATATATTTATATACACTGTATGTTGAAATGCGTTTTTATTACAAATTATATGAAAAATATTTTTAAAAATAAATTTTCAAATGTACTGTATGTCTTTTAAATATGCAAATCTACATTTTTGGAATGCATTTACAAATATATGTAAAATATATGTTAAAATTACTTTTTTATATGTTAAAAAAATCTGAAGAATATATTTAAAAAAAATGTATTTTTAAAAATATTTTTTGTATATTTTGTAATATATAAAAAACACATTTTAACATGCAGTATGTTTTTTTAACATATATAAAAGTAATTTTAATATATATTTACATATATTTGTAAATGCATTCCAAAAATGTAGATTTGTATTTTTAAAGACATACAGTATATAAGAAATGTATTTTTAAAAATACTTTCCAAATACTTGCCTGAGCCAGATCCCGATCCAGTGATGTACATGAGAGCAGCAGCTCTCCTGGGTCTCTCCCTCCTCATTAGCTGAGACACACTCACTGGCTCCCACTGCTGTCAAACACAGCCAGTGGGGAGGGGAGCAGAGGACGAGGCCAAGCTGTGCTCGGGAGCGAGCACACACGAATGCCCCTAGAGCAAGCAGCTTGCTCTGGTGACACTCAGCAGAGGGCAGGGGCCAGCAGTGCCACTGGGGCACCCGAGAAGAGGAAGATCAGGGCTGCTCTGTGCAGAACCATTTCACAAAAATCTGAGAAAAATGTGTAGCATATCCAGTCTTTCTGCTCTGCTGCCACTCATCAGCCATTCTCAACTCTGATTAATCAAAGTTGGGAGTTGCTGTGCACATGGAGCAGCTCTGGCAGCTTCTGCTGTCACAAAAAGTCTGCCTCAGTGTTTATCAAGACCAGTGTTTTCCAGACTGGAAATACAAAGATACAAAGTTATCATATTCAAAGTTAGCATATTCCAGATGAGGTCTTACTAATGATATGTACCGGGGTGATATGATATCTCTCTCTGGAGTCTATACCTCTTTTAATACAAGAGAGGATTTTGTTCACTTTAGAACCCGCAGCTTGGCATTGCATGCCATTATTAAGCTTGTGATCTACCAGAACTCCCAGATCCTTCTCCACCATTGATCCCCCCAGTTGTACCCCCCCCAGTATGTATGATGTATGTACAATCTTTTAGCCAGTTTTCTATCCATTTACATACAGATTTTCCCAAGCCTGTACTGTAGACTTTACCTTACACATTAGCCGTGTGTGGGGAACTGTATCAAACGCTTTTGCAAAATACAAGTATACCACGTCCACCGCCACCCCTCTATCGAAGTGTACCATGTCCACCGCCACCCCTTTGTTGAAGTATACCACGCCCACCGCCACCCCCCTCCGTCCAAGTATACCATGCCCACCACCACCCCTCCATCCAAGTATACCACGTCCACCGCCACCCCTTGTCCAAGTGTACCACGTCTACCACCACCCCTCTGTCCAAGTGTACCACGTCCACTGCCACCCCTCTGTCCAAGTATACCACGTCCACCGCCACCCCTCTGTCCAAGTATACCACGTCCACCGCCACCCCTCTGTCCAAGTATACCACGTCCACCGCCACCCCCCTGTCAAAGTATACCACTTCCACCGCCACCCCTCTGTCCAAGTATACCACATCAACCGCCACCCCTTTGTCAAAGTATACCACACCCACCGCCACCCCTCCATCCAAGTATACCACGTCCACCGCCACCCCTCTGTCCAATTGTACCACATCCACCACCTCCCCACTGTCCAAGTGTACCATGTCCACTGCCACCCCTCTGTCCAAGTGTACCACATCCACCGCCACCCCCCTCTGTCCAAGTATACCACGTCCACCGCCACCCCTCTGTCCAAGTATACCACTTCCACCGCCACCCCTCTGTCCAAGTATACCACATCCACCGCCACCCCTTTGTCGAAGTATACCACACCCACCGCCACCCCTCCGTCCAAGTATACCACGTCCACCGCCACCCCTCTGTCCAAGTGTACCACGTCCACCACCACCCCTCTGTCCAAGTGTACCACGTCCACCGCCACCCCTCTGTCCAAGTATACCACATCCACCGCCACCCTTTGTCGAAGTATACCACACCCACCGCCACCCCTCCGTCCAAGTATACCACGTCCACCGCCACCCCCTCCGTCCAAGTGTACCACATCCACCACCACCCCTCTGTCCAAGTGTACCAAGTCCACCGCCACCCCTCTGTCCAAGTATACCATGTCCACTGCCACACCTCTGTCCAAGTATACCACGTCCACCGCCACCCCTCTGTCCAAGTATACCACGTCCACCACCACCCCTCTGTCCAAGTATACCACATCCACTGCCACCCCTCTGTACAAGTATACCATGTCCACCGCCACCCCTCTGTCCAAGGTTTTGCTCACCTCCTCATGAAAAGAAATCAGATTTGTTTGACAACTTCTCTCTTTCATGAATCCATGCTGTCTGTTGCTTAAAATATTTTTTTTCCAGCAAGAACTCATCTATGTGGACGTTTATTAAACTCTCCAGTATCTTCCCAACTATAAAAGTTAAACTAACAGGTCTATAATTACTTGGTATAGATTATGACCCCTTTTTAATATTGGCACCACATTGGCCTTATGCCAATCCAGTGTTACTATACCAGTCATTAAAGAGTCCCTAAAAATTAGAATTAATGGCTTTGAAATGACAGGGCTCAATTCAATAAGGACCCGTGGGTGCATGCCATCCAGTCCAGGTGCTTTATTCACCTTAATTCTGTCTAAATATTTTTAGATCATATCAATTGTGAGCCAATGTGGATCATCTGGAGCTGTGTCAATACCATGCCCATTATGGACAAGAGCTCCCCCATGCTCCTTTGTATACACAGAACTGAAGAAGGTATTTAATAAATTTGCCTTCTCTTTGTCCCCAGTCACCCACTCTAGAAGGTCCGGACCGGACTTTTTTATTATTAATATAGTTGAAGAATTTTTTGGGGTTGGTCCTGCTATCTTTTGCAATCTGTTGCTCGTTTACAATTTTTGTGGCCTTTATTTCCTTTTTTTGTATTTTGTTATATTCTTTGTAATGTTTAAATATGATAGCGTTCTTTCATTTTTATATTGAATAAAAGCACTTTTCTTATTATCTATAGCTTTTTTAACTTTGTCCGTAAGCCACATAGGTCTGATTTTTAGTCCTTTAAACTTGTTGTCCATGGGAGTATATTTTGTAGTGTGTTCACATACAGTCTTTTTGGAGAACTCCCATTTCTGTGTTGTGTTCATTGATGCCAGTATTCCCTCCCAGTCTTGGAGAGCAGCTCTCAGCCTTGGAAAATTAGCTCTCTTAAAATTAAGAGGTTTTATTTTTCCCATATGTGCTTGCTGCTTACAGCTAACAATAAATGAAATCATGTTATGGTCACTGCTACCCAGATGTTCTTTTATATGGACATTCGTAATAAGCTCTGCATGGTTTGAGATTACCAGGTCCAGCAGAGCATCATTGCTAGTTGGGGCCTCTATGAACTGTACCATAAAATTGTCCTGTAGTAGGTTAAAACATTTTTGCCCTTTAACTGTTCCTGCAGTACCATTACTCCAGTCAATTTCCATTAATATTACAACTTTTTTGGTTTTATTTGCTAACATTTTTACACACTTAATATATTTCTACAAACTTATATTTACACATTTCACATAAAAAAATGCAAAATTGAAAGACACTTTGTTTCATTTATAAATAACTTTTCAATGTTTTGTACCAGAGTCATAACTTTATTTTCATTTTAAACAGGACAAATTACAGATTAAAATGCACACTTTTTATATGCAGTAACACTAGTTATTTTTAAATTAAAAATCATTTTTGCAAGACAACATCATGCAAAGAAAGCCTTGTTTGTCCAGCTGATCGTATGACAAGGTAAAAGGCCAATCACAGCAGCCTTTTACCATGTGATCAGCTGTGTCCAATGACAACTCATGGGGCCCCCGGGCAATAGGGGATCATGGGGCCCCTGCGTCCTTGCCCAAACTCAAAAAAAAAACCTATGAAAAAGGTACCAGGGGAATCTCATGGGGCCCCCTACTGACCCCGGGCCCTCGGGCAGTGCCCGAGTTTCCAAATGGTCAGTCCGCCCCTCATCAGGACACTGATTGTCAGTGCCCTGATTATCATTTCAGCCCCAAAAATGTCCAGCAGTGGTCCCCATCAGTGTTCAGCAATGTCACCCATCAGTGCCGCCCAGCAGTGCCACCCATCAGTGCCGCCCAGCAGTGCCAAGAAGTGCTGCATATCAGTACAGCATCATCAGTACCTCCTTATTAATTCCCACCAGTGTTGCCTCATCAGTGGAGCCTATCAGTGCTGCCTATCAGTGCCCATCAGTGCTGCATATCAGTGCAGCATCTTCAGTGCCTCCTCACCAATTCCCACCAGTGCCACCTTATCAATGCAGCCTATCAGTGCCCATCAGTGCTGCCTATCAGTGCCGCCTCATCAGTGCCCATCAGTGCTGCCTATCAGTGCAGCCTAATCTTTGCACATCAGTGAAGGTGAAAATGTACCTGTTTGCAAAATTTTATAATAGAAACAAAGGAAAACTTTTTTTTTTGCTCTTTTTTTGTCTATAGTGCAAAAATAAAACCCCCCAGTTGCAATTAAATGCTACCAAAAGAAATCTATATTTATTTGGAAAAGATGATAAAAATTTCATATGGGTACAATGTTGCATGACCATGCAATTGTCATTCAAAGTGCGACAGCATTGAAAACTGAAAATTGGCCTGGACAGGAAGGGGGTAAAAGTGCCCGGTAGGCGAGTGGTTAAAGAATTATACAGTAAGTATCACTTTGTTGTTTTAAGTAATGAAAAAGTGCACAGCGGAATCATAGCAGGAGGTATGCAGACTAACTAGGCTGCTGATGGGAGTGCTGTAGGGGTGCTAGAAAAATTCTTAAGGGGGATTTACTCCCTCTGTTGCTGCCACTAGCCCTGCTTCATCCAGCTTTAAAGTGTTACTAAACCCACAACAGTAAAATCAGTCTGTATATGCAGTAAAGCATGCTTGCTATACTCACTGTGGAACCTAAGGGGTTAATCCTCTGCATTGTGTGCAAAGGCTGTTTGATCTTTTCTTCTCTGCCCCTCCTCTTGTTCAAATACCCACACTCATAAGACAGACTGAACCCATAGCCATTCTGCACATGCTCAGTATAGTGTGTATTGCTAGAGAGGTTTTTTTTTTTTTTTCTTGTGTGTATGTGATCAGCACAGGGCCAATCAGCAATGTCCAGACAAAGGCAGGGGATTTCCATCCTCCTAGAGAAAACTCCTCCTACAAGCTCAACTGAAGTCACAAGACTACTCTAATTGCTGATGAGAAAAAGGTATTTAGCAGTTTATATTTACTAAAATAATTTGCATTTCCATGTTCTGTGTACTCAAGGAGACCAGATATAGTGAATGCAGGGTCCGGGGAGACCGGATATAGTGAATGCAGGGTCCGGGGAGACCAGATATAGTAAACGCAGGGTCCGGGGGGACCAGATATAGTGAATGCAGGGTCCTGGGAGACCAGATATAGTGAATGCAGGGTCGGGGGAGACCAGATATAGTGAATGCAGGGTCCGGGGGGGACCAGATCTAGTGAATGCAGGGTCCGTGGGAGACCAGATCTAGTGAATGCAGGGTCCGGGGAGACCAGATATAGTGAATGCAGGGTCCGGGGGGGACCAGATATAGTGAATGCAGGGTCGGGGGAGACCAGATATAGTGGATGCAGGGTCCGGGGGGGGACCAGATATAGTGAATGCAGGGTCCGCGGGAGACCAGATATAGTGAATGCAGGGTCCGTGGAGACCAGATATAGTGAATGCAGGGTCCGGGGGGGACCAGATCTAGTGAATGCAGGGTCCGGGGAGACCAGATATAGTGAACGCAGGGTCCGGGGAGACCAGATATAGTGAGTGCAGGGGCCTGGGAGACCAGATATAGTGAATGCAGGGTCCGAGGAGACCAGATTTAGTGAATGCAGGGTCCGGGGAGACCAGATATAGTGAATGCAGGGTCCAGGGGGGGACCAGATCTAGTGAATGCAGGGTCCGGGGAGACCAGATATAGTGAATGCAGGGTCTGGGGAGACCAGATATAGTGAATGCAGGGTCCGGGGGGACCAGTTATAGTGAATGCAGGGTCCGGGGGGGACCAGATATAGTGAATGCAGGGTCCGGGGAGACCAGATATAGTGAATGCAGGGTCCGGGGGGGGACCAGATATAGTGAATTCAGGGTCCTGGGTTTAGTAGCATTTTAAGCTTTTTTGGAAAATTTACCTCTGATTTCTGAAAGTGGGCAGCAACTTTTTTTTTGCAGCTTATGTAAATTTGTACTTTCATACTCAAAAATATTTTAGAATATTTAGTCTATGCTCAGCTGCAGAACTAGTATTATTTTAACCACTTGGTTGCACTTTAAGCGACCCTTTTGCTATAAAATATTATTTATACCAATGCATATTGCAAAAGAAGACCGTGCATACTCGCCTTTTCATGCTGCTCATGTCGCTGAACACCGCTCAGATGCTAAGAAAACTACTGAAGTCTGAAGGGGATTTGACGCTCGCTGAAGTTCTGATCTCCTGGGTGCAACACAATTGTTTTCCCGTCAGGCTTTAGCTGATTAACCACTTCAAGGCCGGACACTTTCACACCCTTCCAGTCCAGGCCAATTTTCAGCTTTCAGCGCTATCACACTTTGAATGACAATTGTGCGGTCATGCAACACTGTACCCATATGATATTTTTTAGCATTTTTTTGAGACAAATAAAAATTTATTTTGGTGGTATTTATTCACCGCTGGGATTTTTATTTTATTGCTATATAAATGAAAAAGTTCAAACATTTTGAAAAAAAAAGTGTTTTTCTTATAACATTTTGCAAATAAATAATCTTTCTTCATAACTATCTTGGTCAAAATGTATTCATCTATCTTTTTAGCAAAAAAAAAAAAATAACCCAAATTAGTTTATAACCAAAAATTATACTTTTTTAAAAAAAAGTTTTACATTTTTTAAAAAAATATTATTATTTATGTATTTAATTTTTACATACCGTCACCCTAGCAGTACAGTGTCACCATCTTTTATACTGATTGCTTTTACTTGCAACCATTGAGAAATACTGCGAGAGCTTTGATTGGTCGCAGCTTGTCACATGATACAAGGCTGTTGTGAATAGCCTTGTACCATGTGACCTCTGTGATCATTCACAGATTTCACAAGTAGTAAGCAATGATGTCAAGAACTGACATCTTGTTTACTACTGTTCCTGTGATCAATGATTGACCAATCAGTGATCACATGTATTGGGACCTCACACAGAGGTCCCGTACAGCGATCGTTGTTCCTCCGGACACAGCGGGCACCGGATCCCAGGGAGCGCGCACAGGCAGTGAATGTGGAGGCCGTTTATAAAGTGATTAAGCAGCACCAGAGTGGCTTGCAGGCAGAAGGAAAGGCGACTATGTAGTGTCTGCTTTTAAGACACACTGACACTGCCCCCTAGTAAAACACACCCAGCACACAGTTAACCCTTTGATCACCCTCATGTTAACCCCTTCATGCCCAGTGCCATTAGTACAGTGTCAGTGCTTTTTTTAGCACTGATTACTGTATTGATGTCACTGAGGATGTCAGTGACACCAAGTCAGTTTTCCTCAGTGTCAGAATGTCCGCTGTAATCCCGCAGTCCCTCTATAAGTCGCTGATCATCGCCATTACTAGTAAAAAAAAAAAAATCCCAGTATATATACCGCCATTTGTAAATGCTATAGCTTTCACATAAACCAATTAATTTACATATATTGAGATTTTTTTTTAGCAAAGACATGGAGCAGAATACATTTTGTCCTAAAGTTATAACGAACTTAGATTTTTTTAAATTTGTTTACTGGACATGTTTAATAGCAAAAAGTTAAAAATAATGTTTTTTTTGTCTCAAAATTGTCAGCCTTTTTTTATAGCGCAAAAAATAAAAACCGCACAGGTGATCAAATACCAGCATTTCTTGACCGCACAATTGTCAATTGAAGTAACGCAGCGCCGTAACGCAAAGAATGGCCTGGTCAGGAAGGGAGGTAAATCCTCAGGAGGGTAAGTGGTTAATGGAATTATCATCCACTTTGTTTACAAATAGAAGGAAGCAGCAGGGAGCTGTCATTTGCTGGCAATTTAACCACTTGCCCTCCAGAGGATTTAACCCCCTTCCTAACCAGGCCATTGTTTGCGATACGGCGCTGCGTTACTTTAACTGACAATTCCGCGGTCATGCAATGTTGTACCTAAATTAAATTTATGTCCTTTTTCCCCACAAACAGAGCTTTCTTTTGGTGGTATTTAATCACCTCTGCATTTTTTATTTTTTGCGCTATAAACAAAAAAAGACCTACAATTTTGAAAAAAAAAAAGAAAACTATAATTTTGACTTTTTGCTATTAAACATGTCCAGTAATAAAAATTAAAAAATCAAATTTTATCACAAATTTAAGGCCAAAATGTATTCTGCGACATGTCTTTGCTAAAAAAAAATCCCAGTTCGTGTAAATTATATGGTTTACGTGAAAGTTATAGCATTTACAAATGGTGGTATATATTGTATACTGTATTTTTAAAAAAAAATTTTACTAGTAATGGCGGTCAGTGACTTATAGCAGGACTGCGGGACAGGCAGTCTGACACTGGTGGGAACTGACTTGGTGTCACTGACATCCCCAGGGACACCAATACAGTAATCAGTGCTAATAAAAACCACTGACACTGTACTAATGGCACTGGGCAGGAAGGGGTTAACATCTGGGGCAATCAAAGGGTTAACTGTGTGCTATGTGCTTTTTTACTATGTGGGCTGTGTGTGTGCTTTACACTGTAAGCACATTGCTATGCAGAGCCATACCAAGCAGTGTGCAGAAGCTGACAGAGAAGAGATCTGTGTTGTTTACATACAGGTCACTCCCTCGTCAGAAAAACTCAGCGATCGTCGGGTGCCGGCGGCGAGTCACCGGCCAGGACCCAGTGATTGACAGCCGAGGCAGTGAATGGCGATGGCACCCTACCCGAAACTGCAAAATCACACACATATATATATATATATATATACGTGATTTTTCACACCCGTGCCACCCTGTAGCAGTATTTATGCTATAGAGTGGCGTGGAAGCAGTTAAACACAGTAAATTTCAGTATTGCTGTAGTAGATTGTATATATTGAACAGATGCGCCACTTCACAGGCAGGGTCAAGGATCCCCCAGCCTTGATATTTAATGGAGTTTTGCAATTTTACAGTTTCACCTTAAGCGTTACTAAAATTTCTGCTCACAGCCAAATCTTTGTTCTTTTTTTGGCTTTGGTACATGTTACCCATGGCAGTGTCCAGCCCCCATGTCATTTATTTGACAACCCCTTGCCTAACATCTTAGAAAAGGGCCAGCGCTGTTTTTTAACATTGTCAGTCAGTGACTCCAATGGGGTTCTGATTCTGCACTTGAACTTTACTTATATTCGCCAAAAGCTTCTCAAACTGAACCCTGCTCCAATCCAACCCAGTTTTTATGTTACACCATCAGTTATTGTCAGTGCATGTCGGAGTTGGTTAAGATAGGGTCAGCTGACAGTCAGAGTGATTTTAGGAGAGAGATAGCTACTGCTGTTCAGTGCTATACAGAGAGCAATACAGTGCTTTATACAGTGCTGTATATTGCTACTGCTACATTAAAATAAATTGCAGTCTTGTAGGCTACAAAGGGGGAGTATAACGCCGTCCACATTAACTGTGAGGTATAATACTCCATCACTGTGAATTGTATTGTGCTGGGTTACATAATGTTGATAAATGGAAGGTTATGCACTTCGGTGCTAAGAATATGCCACAGCCAAATCTTTGTTCTTTTTTTGACTTTGGTACATGTTACCTATGGCAATGTCCAGCCCCCTATGTCATTTATTTGACAACCCCATATCAGTAATACATACTGGGTGGGGGTACAACTGGGGGAATCAATGGTGGAGAAGGATCTGAGAGTTCTGGTAGATCACAAGCTTAATAATGGCATGCAATGCCAAGCTGCGGGTTCTAAAGCGAGCAAAATCCTCTCTTGTATTAAAAGAGGTATAGACTCCAGAGAGAGAGATATCATTTCCCCCGGTACAAATCATTAGTAAGACCTCATCTGGAATATGCAGTTCAGTTTTGGGCACCAATTCACAAAAAGAACATTGGGGAACTGGAGAAAGTATAGAGGAGGGCAACCAAACTGATAAGAGGCATGGAGGAGCTCAGCTATGAGGAAAGATTAGAGGAACTGAGTTTTGTCTCTCTTGAGAAGAGGAGATTAAGGAGAGATATGATCTCCATGTATAATACATAAGGGGGGATATGATCACCATGTATAATACATAAGGGGGGATATGATCTCCATGTATAATACATGAGGGAGATATGATCTCCATGTATAATACATAAGGGGGGTATGATCACCAAATATAATACATAAGGGGGGATATGATCTCCATGTATAATACATAAGGGGGATATGATCTCCATGTATAATACATAAGGGGGATATGATCTCCATGTATAATACATAAGGGGGATATGATCTCCATGTATAATACATAAGGGGGATATGATCACCAAATATAATACATAAGGGGGGATATGATCTCCATGTATAATACATAAGGGGGGATATGATCTCCATGTATAATACATAAGGGGGGATATGATCTCCATGTATAATACATAAGGGGGGATATGATCACCATGTATAATATATAAGGGGGGATATGATCTCCATGTATAATACATAAGGGGGGATATGATCTCCATGTATAATACATAAGGGGGGATATGATCTCCATGTATAATACATAAGGGGGGATAGGATCTCCATGTATAATACATAAGGGGGATATGATCTCCATGTATAATACATAAGGGGGGATATGATCAACATGTATAATACATAAGGAGGGATATGATCTCCATGTATAATATATAAGGGGGGATATGATCTCCATGTATAATACATAAGGGGGGATATGATCTCCATGTATAATACATAAGGGGGGATATGATCTCCATGTATAATACATAAGGAGGGATATGATCAACATGTATAATACATAAGGAGGGATATGATCTCCATGTATAATATATAAGGGGGGATATGATCTCCATGTATAATACATAAGGGGGGATATGATCAACATGTATAATACATAAGGCGGGATATGATCTCCATGTATAATATATAAGGGGGGATATGATCTCCATGTATAATACATAAGGGGGGATATGATCTCCATGTATAATACATAAGGGGGGATATGATCTCCATGTATAATACATAAGGAGGGATATGATCTCCATGTATAATACATAAGGGGGGATATGATCTCCATGTATAATATATAAGGGGGATATGATCTCCATGTATAATACATAAGGGGGGATATGATCTCCATGTATAATATATAAGGGGGGATATGATCTCCATGTATAATACATAAGGGGGGATATGATCTCCATGTATAATACATAAGGGGGGATATGATCTCCATGTATAATACATAAGGAGGGATATGATCTCCATGTATAATACATAAGGGGGGGGATATGATCACCATGTATAATACATAAGGGGGGGATATGATCTCCATGTATAATACATAAGGGGGGATATGTTCACCATGTATAATACATAAGGGGGGGATATGATCTCCATGTATAATACATAAGGGGGGATATGATCTCCATGGATAATACATAAGGGGGGATATGATCTCCATGTATAATACATAAGGGGGGGATATGATCTCCATGTATAATACATAAGGGGGGATATGATCTCCATGTATAATACATAAGGGGGGATATGATCTCCATGTATAATACATAAGGGGGGATATGATCTCCATGTATAATACATAAGGGGGATATGATCTCCATGTATAATACATAAGGGGGGATATGATCTCCATGTATAATACATAAGGAGGGATATGATCTCCATGTATAATACATAAGGGGGGATATGATCTCCCTGTATAAACACATCAGTGGTTC